CACATCTGAGCTATTCACAGTAACTGGGTATACACTACAATATATAATGAATACTATATAGTGAACCAATAAAAAAACTAAAATTTAAATTACCTCAATGTTATCAATAAACTCTATATATTCTCCAATCAGCTAAGCTACCAACAATAAGTCGTTATATATCACAATGCTATATGGCGAAAAAATGGGTGGATTCTTACCCTCAACTTTAGCAACACGGATAGCTACGGGCCCCGTTCAGACGGACGAGTTCATCCATGGTCGGAACAGAGGAGGGAGAGAGAGACAGCTGCGAGGCGCTGTTATACTCCATGTTGTAAACCATACCATTAACCGTGGTGTGAGAGGTATTAAGAGTCAATGCCAGCGAAAGAGCTGCGGTCTGAAGGTCATCGTAAAATACAATTAATTAAGAACGGAAATGGTTTAAAACATCTTTCCAATGGTTACTAAGCCAGAATCCATCTTCTCGGTTGAAATTGTCTCTGTGCTTGTATATGTGAATGGCCTCATGAACGAATCTCTCATGGTAGCTGGTTGATTTGCAAAGAACCTCCGTCTTGGAGAAGTCAATGTCATGTGAGCCCACTGAATTATAACAGTGATCTGCCACGGCAGAGGAGTTCGTTCTACCATGTTTCAAATCTGCGTTATGTTCGCGGATGCGGTCCGAGATATGTCGTTTGGTTTCTCCAAAGTAGCTACTACCACAGAGGCACTTTAGTTTAAATAAAAAGAGATCCCACCAACAGCCTGGTTACCAAAACGAACAAAATCATCTCTGATTCAACAGCATTAATTTATCAGACCAAACAGTTCTCATAATAAAGGTTTTTGGGTTAGATCGCGTTTATTTATAAATGTGTCGTAACCCTCCACCACCCGACACGGCCAATCAGCAAAAAAAGTGTCACGTTGACAAAAGACAAATAATTCACTACTTCAGCCCACCGGTGTGTTGAAGAGTTAATCCACATTTACAGTTTGAGTACGACGTTTCGCTGGTAAATACTTCCAGCATCATCGGGCAATTCGCCAGAATGGTAAAGCCCTCGCTTGCTCCCGGTTTTATATAGAGCAGCAGGGTGACGTCATCACTTAACTCATCAGGTGCAGTGATTAGAGGCGGAGGGGGGGGTAATGTAATTATATAATCGATTAGTAATCAGTCATTGGTTATGATTAGTAATGAGTTGTAGATTAGTAATTCTTTAAATCAAAATGTAATGTGTATTATTTAATAATACGCTTCCAGGCCGCACTAAGCCGGTAGCTGTCAGAGCGATTAAAGTTATTCTTGTTCCTCTCAATTTCAATGGATTCTCTAATTAGTCTTTGCCAGTAATAATTAGTTTTACACACCACTGCAACATTGTCAAAATCAATTGAGTGTCCTTGTTGACAAGCATGTTCTGCCACTGCCGACAGTTGTGTTTGAGATAATTTAATATTTCTCTGATGTTCTTTTAGTCTTACGCTGATGTTACGTCCCGTCTGCCCAATGTAGCAGCTGCCACATGAACAATTAATCCGATATACACCTTCTGTTGATAGTTTGGGTAATGCGTCTTTAGTGCAAGATACTAGTTTTTGAATTTTGTGTACTGTACCAAATCTTACTGTAATGTTTCGTTCTGCTGCCAGACCACCAAGATTATATGGCCTTCCAAAGATACACAAAGAAGATACACCCCTTCGTCCCATCGTCTCTACTATCAACTCCCCCACCTATAAACTGGCACGTTTTCTTGCTGATATACTGCGACCTTTCACTGGAAAAACCACCTCTGCGGTACTAAATTCTACTCACCTGGTATCGACAATCAAAGGCATTTCCCTGTCCCCAGACGACCTGCTTGTCAGTTTTGATGTGGTGTCCTTGTTCACCAAAGTCCCGGTACCTGACACCATCGCTATCATTGAAGACCTGGTTCATCAAGGACTGCATACTGATGTACCCCCCCTGGTGAGACATTGCTTAGCCAACACATACTTCACCTGGAATGGAACTTTCTACAAACAAACTGAGGGCACCCCAATGGGCTCCCCCCTATCTCCGGTTGTAGCCAACATATTCATGGAAAAATTTGAAACTGACGACATCCAGACTGCCACTCTACGCCCGACCTTATGGAAGAGGTACGTGGATGACACCTTTGTCATCTGGCCACATGGCCAGCCTGCTCTAGACCAATTCTGCGACCACATCAATTCCATACACCCAGCCATCAGATTTACCATGGAGGTCAAAAAAGATGGCAAACTACCCTTTTTGGATGTCTTAATTAAAAGGAGACATGATGGTTCAATGAGCCACTCTGTCTACAGGAAAGCTACCCATACAGATGCTTACTTGAAACCGGATGCCCACCACCATCCATCCCAGAAGAACTCCCTCATCAAGACTCTATACCATAGAGCCCAATGCATTTCCGACCAGGAACACATTACCAGTGAACTCAAGCACGTACACCAGGCTCTCATGGCTAATGGTTACTCCGACTACACAATCCACAAAGCCATCACTCCAGTCATGAAGAAGGATCCTCTTGTGGAGCCACTCAAAACCATCACCTTACCCTACATTGCAGAGGTCACTAAAAAGATCTCCAAAATCCTGAATTAACACAAGATCCAGGTCCGATTCAACACAGTACATCAAATCCGTGATCTAGTTCCATCTGAAAAAGATGCTGTTCCAGACATACAGTACCCAGGCGTTTACAAACTAAAGTGCCTCTGTGGTAGTAGCTACATTGGAGAAACCAAACGACATATCTCGGACCGCATCCGCGAACATAAAGCAGACTTGAAACACGGTAGAACGAACTCCTCGGCCGTGGCAGATCACTGTTATAATTCAGTGGGCTCACATGACATTGACTTCTCCAAGACGGAGGTTCTTTGCAAACCAACCGGCTACCATGAGAGATTCGTTCATGAGGCCATTCACATATACAAGCACAGAGACAATTTCAACCGAGAAGATGGATTCTGGCTTAATAACCATTGGAAAGATGTTTTAAACCATTTCCGTTCTTAATTAATTGTATTTTATGATGACCTTCAGACCGCAGCTCTTTCGCTGGCATTGACTCTTAATACCTCTCACACCACGGTTAATGGTATGGTTTACAACATGGAGTATAACAGTGCCTCGCAGCTGTCTCTCTCTCCCTCCTCTGTTCCGACCATGGATGAACTCGTCCGCCTGAACGGGGCCCGTAGCTATCCGTTTGGCTAAAGTTGAGGGTAAGAATCCACCCATTTTTTCGCCATATAGCATTGTGATATATAACGACTTATTGTTGGTAGCTTAGCTGATTGGAGAATATATATAGTTTATTGATAACATTGAGGTAATTTATATTTTAGTTTTTTATTGGTTCACTATATAGTATTCATTATATATTGTAGTGTATACCCAGTTACTGTGAATAGCTCAGATGTGTAGGCCTTGACTTCAACATAGCCATTTCTGTGACCAGTCACAAGCTAATCACTCAGTTATTTCAATGCTAAATTCGCCTAGTTATTTCAATGCTAAATTCTCCTGTTTGATTTGTACTAGGGGCCTCTGTGAATGTATATACTCTGACTTTAACATAGCTATTTCTGTGACCAGTTACAAGCTAATCACTCAGCTATTTCAATGCTAAATTCTATGCTACTTCCTTTGTCAAGGGGTGCCTCTGCGGATGTGTATGCTTTAACTTTAACATAGCCATTTCTGTGACCAGTCACAAGCTAATCACTCAGCCATTTCAATGCTAAATTCTATACTAATTCCTTTGTCAAGGCGCTCTGTTTCTTCTCACACAGCTTAAAGTTCGCGATCTGAGCGTGGCTTTTTCGCTCCAGCGCTGTCCTCCAGACAGTCTCGTCCCTTCACCTGATGAAGGCCGCTTGTGTTGTGGCCGAAACGTCGTGAGAATTTTATTGTGTTATTTTATTTTATCAATTTATTATTTTATTCTCATTCTACGTGAATTTACCGAAAGAACCAAAGAAGATGAATCCTTGCAGTCACGAAAGCTTTAAATCGAAACACAGGTGATATTTACTCTCGGTTGAAGACGTCATTTTTCAATGTGGTGCCTCACGAAGAATATAAAGTTTCGCAAAAACAGCTGGATCGTTTTTTTTACATCAACAAATATTAATCAACAGATATGACGAGTAAATGTAAGCTTACGTATAATGCACATTTACACACGGCTGATAAGTAACCTGTCTAATCCCTCACCTTCCCCAAGTCAAACCTAGTTGCTGGTGATTGTGCTGGTGTCAGGCAAGGCAACGATCCTTTTGGGCTCTTCCCAGCGTTTGTCTACAGGCTTTCACATCAGGAGGTGTGCAGCAGAGTGGACATAAATACACACACTGGTTCCCATGGAGCCTTACAGACTGCTGGGGTGATTTATATTTGTGAAAAGCTACGGAGGCTGGCACGCTGCATGAGGGGGTGTTTGAGGGTACACCACATCAGGCTCCTTTGCCTACCCACAATGCTGATGATGATCACACACTGCAGCATGTACTCGTCTTCATTTTAAATTAATCTACGAGAGGCCCAGGAGAGGTTTCAAAGGCACTTCCAACTCACAGGTGTCGTCTCAGAATTGAAATGAGGTCGTTGGGAATTTCAATGCAGTGCTTTGACCATTGCACATGACATATATGTGCACCCACTCACAGCACCCACACACTCATATACACGGACACTGCTCACGTATGCACAGACAAGAGACACACTGAGCCTTGTGGCTCACAGGAGGCCTCGTTCTCTATATAAACCTGCGACCACAAAGGGCCCTGTGCCCTATAGAAGGGTTATGGGTGATCACTGGCAAAAGTCAGGTTATGGGTAGGAGGGTGAGATTGTGTGGGAGGATTAGTGGTTATGTGAGCGAGTGGGTGAGAGGGTACGTCAGTGCGTGTGTTGGTGGGTGGGTGAGTGGATCTGTGAGTGAGTAAGTGAGTAGTGAGCGAGGTCTTACCCGCGAGATGGTGAGGGGCATGTTGAAATCCTTCCCACCCTGCAACCGGAAGCCCCATGGTGCGGGCCCGTGCAGCGTCACTGCGTAGTTGCTCATGATTCAGCTCTGGCCAGGACTGCAGACAAAAGACAAACACACAGACAAAGAGCCCGTCTGTAGTTGACACAGAGTGCGGGGGAGCACTGCTGCTCATGAGCACTGATGAAGGCCATCATGGCACACGAAGGGGTGGTGGGGATAGGCGCCACGCCTGGCTATCGCCGCCTTCGTCTCCTCAGAGTAATGCGTTTATACACAGTACCAGGCGCTCATTTAAGGCTGAGACTACCTCGGAGAGGGTAGGGACCAGTTCAGATATTCAAATACAGAACCCACACGACAAACAATGACACCTGACCTCTGAGACAGAGTTTAACTTAAATAAGTGATTCTATGCAACACATTAGCTATTACATATTGATTTAGACATTCTGTGTCAATCAATCATTCTGTTTTTCTTAATATTTAGTCTCCCTCCATAGACGTATTCTCTATTAAAATACGGACTGATCATGTGTGGCGATAATATGTATGTACTATTAACTTCTTTCACATTGTATACAGAATGGGCACCCTTCATGGCTGCAGTATGTCCAAGACGAAGCAGGTTAACTTCATGCAAGACAAGCAATGAACCGCTGGTACAAACTTGATAAAATGTACATAATTATAAACGCCTACACACCAACTATGAAACCTCTCAGGTAAATTGTTAACTGGCACAAGTTAATTGTGCGAGTGTTGTGCAATGGCAGGTGCTCACATTCCATTAAATGGCTGAACCCAAGTCGCTCCTGGACAGACACAAAATCCATCGCGAGATTGCAATAACACTGCCAGCAGGGCCGCAGACATCACAAAGTGGCTCCTTTACCTCGACAGCGCAAGTCAGAGACCCCAGCCCAACAGTGGCTACCATTGATCGACCCCAACAAGAAAGCCATTGAGAGGCTTTGCCTTCTTGAGAGCGCCAAACATTTTTAAAACAGATTTCCTTTAAAAGGCAGAATCAAAACGTGCGGTACTACAGCGCCCGCCACTGTTAAATATAAAGAGGTCCTTTCCAGATGAAAACCACCCATGTTTTGCAAAATCAAGCAAAGGGTTTTGCGAAATGCAATGCAGACACTCATAGAAAACACGACCCCACAATCCTCACATTCCTCCACTGGCTTTAAATCAAGTGGCTAATCGTTACCTCCAAAAGTCTGGCATTGCCTATCATCTATAAAAAATGGTGTGTGTGTGCATCGTGTGTTGGAATATTTAGTCTCGTCAAAACATCCGGCTGCCGGGCGGCTCAGCGGTAGAGAAGCTCACAATCAGAAGGTTGTAAGTTCACAACCTGGGTGGGGTTTGATTCATCCCATCATCCCTCTGGGATTGATACATGAGTACCGTGTTGTGGGGAAGTGAACAATGGTTGTGTTATAAACTTGTCCATGCCATAGCACTGGGGAAGTTTCACCATTGTCTCAGGGCTGTAAACAGTATTGAGCATAGCCTCAATGCCAATTTGAGTAGGGAATAAATGTCTTTTTATATATATAAAAAAACACTTTCGGTGGTTCGCCTATAAATAACTACAATTTGTTGATGACCTCCAACAAAAACTTGCTTTATTGTATGTTGTTAAAAAGTATCGGTGCTTGTTGGCACACTATCACCAGGAGAAATATGAAGGGGTGGCAGGTGATGCAGACATAATCTGCACCACAATTATGGGGTGGGGGGGGGGTCATTTCTGAAATTTAGTCGCTGCTGCTGTTGCTGCAGAGTGTGTTGTGGGGTGAGGTGGTGGTGGTGCCCTGCAGACCACACGGCTGTGCAGTCTAGCGCCCGGCTGCCACTTCATCAAAATGAACGAAATCCCCAACGATTAATTTACGTGAAGCATGTACTCAGTGCAGTGGGGGGAGGGGGGGGGATGGCGGCATGACAGCGCGTCACCTGCAAACACCTTTTTCAAAGGAACATCTCTCTCTATCATGGGGGCAATGCGCTCGCTTGGGAAACTGAGTCAGGGTTAAGGGAAGCACCTGCCTGGCCTCAAATAGGCTCTGCTGCCACTGCTGTGAGTCACTGTGAATTCTCAGTGTGGCCACGTTGTGAGCGATGGAATCTCGCAGACGAGCCCCCCCCCGCCGCGCTTCTTGGCACAGAGACCTGAGACCCACGGGGTGCTACCACCTCACTGACACGGGGATCAGTGAAACAACTTTAACCCTGAACATTACCTCCTGCTCCCTCCCTCCCTCCCTGCTCCCAACACCCATCCCAGCCTGGCCTCCCCACACCACCACCACCTTCTATCAGTGTCACTCACGCAAGGCCCTCAGCTGACCTTTCTGGGGTACCTCAGAGGAATCACAAACTGGCCTCACATTTTGATTTAAAGCTTTCGTAACTGCAGTAACTCATATTCTTAGCTCTTTCGGTAAAGTCACGTTGAAGGGAAACAATAAAATAATAAAATATATATAAAACAAAAAATTATCACGACGTTTCGACCATAACACGTGACTTTACCGAAAGAGCTAAGAATATGGCCTCACATTGATCTAGATTCTTATATCTTGAATTTTTGCACTGTAGTAATAGTTTAAAAGGTCAAAGCGACTTCTTCAAATTGGAATGTGTAAGTGCTCATTCTCATTTACAGCCACAGCCAATGATGGAAATCTCATTCCTATGGCAGGCTTGACTCAATGTTTATTTGAACCACTGTTAACATCCTATAGAGTGTTATTAATTTTGTCAACTCAGAGGCATAAAGGGCTGAGCCAAGCCCCTATTGGAATGTTAACTTTCGACCTTCCAATTACTGGTGTCTTATATGGCAGTTACAGTTGTACCCTTTACTTTAGCAGGTAAACCACAGTGACAGAATACATCTCATGCTCAAGCAATATCCGAGATAAACACTATTAATGATCATGACCAGGCATGTTCAATCCACTGCTGGATGTGAACTTCCCCATGCCATCACCATCCCACGCAATCCAGTGATCCTAATGCTCCATCTCCGCGGTGTCCGTTCTGTTGGATGTGTTCCCTCCTTGGGCTGCCATTCTGTCCCCGAGATATTCCACAAGTCGTAATCCCTTTCAGAGGAGATGTGCTCTGCCAAAGCAAATTTACTTTCTTAACAGTCATATATACGTATGTATGATTAACTTCTTTCGCACTGTACGTAGCCAACCGTGCTAATCGGAGGTGCAGTCAATGTGATACCTCTGTTTTTGCATTTGATCCCTGATCATGAAATAAGATGCATATGAAACACGATAAATAGGGACATGAACTGAGATACTGAACGTGACTGGAGTTATTCATTCAGTTTATCATCATACGCACAGAGATTCAGAGAAATTAAAACTTAAACTGCACCATCTATGATCTTATTTAATAAGTAAATACGGTTTATTTTCATAAATGAGAATTGAGGTGATGTAAATTTTCTGTATGAAGCTCTAAGATAATTATGTAATTTCCACATTCTTATGGCAGGGTTGAGTCTATCTGTAGGAAAAGCACTTTGACATCCCCACAGAGGTGGCACTCGATGTATTGACTGGGACAAAAGATGGCCCAAGTCAATTCCAAAACTGGATTTGACAAAACTAGAACAGAAACGGTAACACGTACGTTTCATGAACCTGTAATCACCCTTCTGATGCACCTTACAAAACTGCACCATTTGGCTTGCCCGTCGGTACGAATCCGAATTTAGAAGCGTAAGTATGGGGGGCATGGGGGGCCCGTATGGCGTAGCCGCGGGTGACCATTGAAATATATTGAAGGGGGGGGGGGAGGACACGAGATACCGTTTGAGCCCATTCCAAAAGTTTGTGGGGGTGCGCGGGGCGAGGTTGCTGCTTTGTTTGCCCTCAATGTTCCCACACCCATGCTCACTGCCAAATGATGCAGTTTGGTTGGAGGCTTCTGGTGTTATCCCGCATGCCGTGGGTGTGGAAACTCAAAGGGTACAATTAGGGGAGTGCAGTTCTTCATGCATGCCACGCAGACGGCATGACGAGTAGAGATCGGTATCTCTGGCTTCTACATAAATGCTGTAATCAATGCCACCACTATCCTTCTGAAGACCCTTATAAAATATACGCATAATGCATAAATGTTGTTGTACACCAACCAGTAGCACGCTATTCTTTATTTACATTTTGCATCAAGTCAACGGCACTAATCCTATAGATTGGACTGACTCCAACCATGGGAACCTGGAATATCAACACCATTGGAGATGGTGTTGAGATTCACGGTCATATGTGCTGGCAGCTAAGCCACTGGGACATGTTTTGACACAGAAAAGCCAGGGGCTTCACTGTGTTGCAAAGATTCATCAACAAGACAAAGTCCTGCTTGGGATGTTTGGTACAACTATAATCAATATTTCAATCTGCATCCATCCTTGCCGACCTTCCTTCAGCGATGCCAAGCCTTTAAGGATACGATTGCCATTAAGGGAGGTATTTTGAATGCCTAATTGCGAGCCCTTTTATTGCAGGAATGTGCCTCCTAATCTCTGAGATGGCTCGTCTCCCTTGGCTGGAAGCTTCTCTGAGCATTCTGCTCCGCTGTCTGCAGAGACGATTACGCGCACGTGTGTGTGCGTGTGTGCGTGGCGAGTACGTGAGTGCGAGTGCACATATTATAAGGGCGCAGGCTGGAAATAGCCACTGCTAAATTTACATCGGGACCATCTAAACGCGCACGGCGCTCCTCCAGAGCGCACGCCGCTCGCCTTACATGGGAGCTGCATACTCAGCAGCCCGCGATTTCCAAGCGGCTCCGTTTTCTATTCCCCCTATTTTGTCCTTTCTACCAACCACTTGGTGGCAAATTAAATATAACCGAGTGCGCAGGCAATGCTGTTGGCTGTGGGTGTGTGTCCGCGTGTGTCACAGTGAATGGGAGCACAGCATATAACAATCCAGGGTGACCTGGATTCGATTCTCCGCCATGTGAAGCATCACCGTCAGCGTGTCGTCGTCGTCGTCCCTTAACGTGTCTTGCTCACACATCAACTCGGCCCTGACTACCTCACTCTTTGTGTGGAGATCAGCACTTGGGGAGACAAAGGCGGGCAGGCGTGGTTCTATCCACGCCGCCCTCTCGGAAACAGTTTGGGCCTTAGTGGGTGCTCGCTAACACTTTGCTCCTACAACGTATAATGCTAAACGAGGGATACCAATCTATAGACTGTACTTGAGGCTGGACAAGGTCAAATATTGGCAATACACGCCGTAACTAGGGCATTATTGTCCGTAAATAGTTGAATAGAGACCTGATAATCACTGAAAATCCTGAATACACACGCACACACCACACGTGTCCAATCACAGGAGTTTGCACCTCGCCAATCGTGTAAATATATTTCCTTAATTTGCCTTTTTCTTAAGCCTAATGCATGTTTTATATTTTTAGGCCGTGTTAATAACCAGCGTGGTGATTCGCATTGATTTATTTAATTAATATAATCTGCATGAACTCAAACAAAAAGGTGCACACGTGTGGAGATGTATGCGTGCATTAAACACATGCTTGACAATGCGTACGCCACAGAAACTGCGACCAACACTGAGCGACGTGCGGTCTAAACGTCTCCTCCACACATTGTCGATTCACCAAAATGGGATTACTGGACGTGCCGGAAAACTAATAATCATCGCCATTTAACATGAGCATTGGGGATTGACTCACCCCATCCTCTGTTGCAACTGAATGAAATAAAGTTTACTTTTTATTTATTTAATTCATAAAATGAGTACCACTCTGTGGGAAGTCAACAGTGGTTACCCTATGGATATACCCATTCCTGTCATATGAATGTGTAATTACTGCCGCCGGCTAAGGGTCCGTAAACAGATGAGTACCCCCCCCCCCCCCCTCAATGCTCATTTGAGCGGGAAATCGCTTTGAACAAAAGCTTTATTTGGGGTATTTCAGAGGCTGTAGCATGTTGCATCAGCACAGGCTGTTGCGGTGAACACGAAGAGCCAACGTTCCTGCCCGACACCTGCCCTGGGCTTGTTAACTCCTGTAGCGCGGAGTCGCCTCAGCCATATGCCGCAATGTAAAGATGTCCTCCTCGTCATCCGTGCTATGTACACCCAGTGGGTGTTTTATGGGAGGAAGCGTCGTTACCGCCTGGATGTGCGTGCGCAAACAATGGCAAGCAGCAGCATGCCACTCGCTCAACTACGGCAGTCTCCTAACTCCTCTACCGTCGTTCGCAGGAGATAAATCAGCTGCTGCTGAATCTAAACGCGAAATAACACGAGAGATTAGCTATATAGCAAGGGCGCCCGACACCCCACACACACATCACACACGAGCCCCATTGTATCGCGCCCTTAGCTGTTGCCATGCGCCCAGCCCTCACCCAGAGCGAGCAGTTACTTTTGGCCGACACAATACAAGAGGGCAGCTTTTGCTCGTTGCTCAGTGGAGGTCACGGAGCAGTGAACAACTCAGCAGCTTTTGGCTGCTCGCCATCGAGCAAAGACGGTCGCCGTTTTAGGATGAGCTTCTGCGGCCGTCTGGAACGCTCCTCCTCCTTCCGATATTCTCAAGCCACTGGGAGCCATGCACTTTGAAATCATCACCTAGATTGACAATCTAATTCCTTTAAAACTGCCTTTTTTGTGTTTAGTTTGTTGTCCTTCCGCCGCAACTCCCGATTACTTGGCTACGTACGGTGCGAAAGAAGTTCAACACACGAGGATGGGGTGGCATCCACGGGAACCCAGCCAGCCCTCGAGACGCGCTCGCCAACTCACTCTGGGCGACCTCGTGCTGCAGCGCTTCACGGTTCGAATCCAGCGGTCGCCCCTCATGTTATTGCTGTGGGTGGAATGACCACGCTAACAATCTGTACTATGCGCCGTCTGTCTCATATAAAGACATTAAATATCCCCTGGCGTCATTCGCAAGAGCAGGCCAATGTGTGCCGAACTTTGATAACGTTCTAAAATTACCCGATGCGGACTATACATGGCAACCAACGCCCCATACTGGCAAACTAACACCCCAAGTCTATCGCAAATGAGACTCGCCCTGGTCTCTTGACTTAACCACCTGGTTAAACAAAAGAAAACGCGCGTTGTTCTCTGCGCTTTTATCGCGTCAGCTTGCAGTTGATTTACTACTGTACCGCCTTTCGCGAGACTCCATGTCAGTCCATCCACCCTTCCATCCGCTCATCCACCAATGCCATATATTGATTCACCAAACCATCCGCTTATCCATTCATCACTCAACTATCCATCCATAAAGCCGTTAATCCACTCATCCAGCAATCCATTAATGCATCCAGCGATCCATTCATCCACTCATCGCTTAACCATACAACTCAACCATCCACCCACACATCTATTAATCTATCCCCCTGCTTTTCCTCCTTCCCACCCCATAAACATGTAATCCTCTTGCACCATCTGGCGCACCAGTCCATCGTGTCTACCTTAAGACGTCAGCGTCCCACATCTCCGTGTGCAGGCGCCCGCGCTCTGCACAAATCATGGGCGAGCGACGGACGCTTTATCGGTTATCGTCATCAAGATCCGCCACATTGCTCTTGCTTTTCAACAGCTCCACCTTCATCTCAATGCATGGAATCGGCGACTTCGGCAAAACGCATGCAAAGTGCTGAACGGCGCGGTACACGTGGTGGGGCAGTACACGCCACAACGCAATAAGTACGCGTCGAACGGTAACGCACCGCGCACCTCCCACCAAAGCGCACATCACACACAGACACAGGACAACAGTTTACAACTTCACAACAGTTTACAACTTCGCAACAGCACACACACGGGGGCACTGCGTATCGCGGCGGTGCGCATCGCAGTTTCACACCGCACGACCGCAGCGCGCAGTGGGCGCGCGAAGTACCCGCAGCACACGGACAGCGACTCGGCGTGCGGCGAGGCGGGACGCTCACCGCGCTCGTTGGCTCTCTCGAACGCTTGGGTGCAGCAAAGGAGGCGAACTCGTCTGCGGCGCTGCTCCGCTTTGCCTGCGAGCGCCTCTTTTCAGCCCCCGCCTCCAGATAAATTTAGCGGCGGTTCCTTTTACGTCACCCACAGGGCGCCGCCAACCTCGGCAGCCACCAACCACCCCCAACCAGCAGCAGCTCCCGACACGCGGGGCGCATCCCTCTCCTGCCACCCGCCCCCTCGCCCCACCACCACCACCGTCTTGTCCCTCAACGTCCATTACGTCAGCCTTAATTAGAGTCACGGCACGTGTAGTCGACTCTGGCGATGCCCAGTTAGCCGCCTTTAGCTGCTGCTGGCAGTGAAGGGCGTGAGCGGCTGTGCCCTGGGCCAGCCTGGGGCCGCAGCGAACGAATGAGGGTCACCAACCACAACACAAGAGGCCGCGTCTTTGCTTGGGCTAAAGGCAACAACGGCAGCAGCCGGCTGCGTTCTGGCTTACCGCGTGCACGCGTCCTGCCTCCTCACTCTTCCTTGATTGGTTGCGGGTTCGAGATAGATCTCAATGAAGTTATCGATCTCGATAAAGTGTAGAGAACGAAACGAGCTGTACACGATTGCAGACCATTGCAGTCAGCTTTACATCTTACCCGGTATTTTCCTGAACTCCAGATCTCGCGACCCGCCTGGCGATTGCTAAACAATGGCTCGAAAGCGACGGCGTGCTTGTGTGAAGGTGGGGAGCGGTAGTGGAGCGGTAGTGTAGCGGTAGTTATCGGTAGTGTAGCGGTAGTTTAGCGGTAGTGTAGCGGTAGTGTAGCGGTTAGCGCGCTGCGCTACGACCCTTGCCACCCGGGTTCGATTCCCGCTCACGGCCAATACCAGTGACGATTATCTGAACCGGTTCTGGGCCTTCTCCTAGGTCGACTCAGCCTCAAATGAGTACCTAGTGTGGTGCGTAAAAAAACATCGCCACTAGGGAGACAAAGACGGTCGGGCGTGGTGCTGGCCACCCACCCCCTCGTGTGCCGTTCTGACTTTCATAGGTGCTGCTCGCTTACAGCACTTGCCCCTACATTCTGTTAAGGCTATACGGGGGATCTTTGTCTTAGGAAGCCCTCTGAATTGAAAGCGGCGCTCACCAGGTCACGTCGGGATAATATTGAGCCACCGTCAGGTGCGCGCAGTGTGCAACGAGCACATTTGTATTTTAGCGGAGAAGAGTGGTAAATCATTTAAAGGCCGTCCTTTGCGGGTGGTCAGGACCACTGGCGGGCCGTGTATTTTACACCTAAACCCTGTGCCATTCTCCCGCAATTAAACCGCCTTCAAATAACCTCACCATGACACTAGGGCTATAGGCTATTGTCATTCGATGTAACCACCCCATATTCACTGTCTTGGCCTCGCTGTGCGCTGCGTCACACCACTATCCGAGTAGATAACCTCGCATTCAATAAACCTTCAGAGCCAGGGTGAACATCCGACTCCAAACGTATTTAATGAATAGAGCGAGGTAAAACTGATGGAAAAACACAGCACAAATACAGCATCTGTTAATACTTGGAAATATCAATACAATGAATGAACACTACAGCATCATAACATTGTCTTAGATAACATGAAACTCAACAATAGATCCTGGATGGACCAGGCACCTACATTAGTACTGAATAGCTATACAAGAGAATAAGCTACTGTGTTAAATGAGGGCACATCGTGTAATCACCATACTGCGGCCTAAATGTACAGCACTACACATAACACTGAACTGTGGATGAGAAATTTCGTCATCCTTGCTGTCAAGATCGCAATAAGGTTACATGAGTACAAGTCTGACTCTACTTATGCAATTACAAGTAACATTCACAATAATGCAAGTGGCAGGCTTCGTTGTTAACTAGGTCTCATATTTATCAGCATTATAAAGGCATTTACAACATTATAACGGCCATTATAACATTATAACAGCATTCCCAGTTTTCTAAGAACATAAACGAACTTGCAGACAATGCTTCTTAAAGTCCCACAATGAACAGATGCACCTGTCTTCACTGAGACGCTATTTGTGCCACCATTTTGTACTCTGTGTAATAGCTGATACCCTGCCGTATGGCTTAGAGGATGTTAACTTCCTAGTCACGTAACCAAACTCAACATCCAAACAGGAAATTCCTGTGTACACACACCCCCACACATGCCGTGAGGCAGAACATTCACAGTGATAGTAACCTTTATCGAGTGGAATAAAGTGATTTAACACGAGGCTCAACACCTATGAGAGTTACAATGCACTAATTGCGGAGACATGAATACATGGTGACTGAAACCATCAAGTATGTACCACTAATTCTAGATTTGAAACTTTCGTGACTGCAAGGATTCATACTCTTTGGTTTTTTCGGTAAAGTCACGTAGGTAAAATAAATTAAAATAAAATAAAACAATTAAATCACGACGTTTCGGAGGCAACACAAGCTTCCGTCTTCAGGTGGAACAGTCACAGCAAGATCGCTGCATCAAGTGGGGAGGCTCTGAGAGCCTCGAGCTTAAATACAGGTTAAGGGGGGGGAGGAGCCAAGTAGGACACATTGATGTTGTGCGGAGCTAAGTTAATCCGTCTTTTGTTATGTTGAGGGTGCGGGGGATGCAGTGGGTCACTGCACGGGGGCAATGGAAAAATGGAAACAAAAATTGAAAAGTTTGGCAAGAATATGCTGTGTGCTTATAAGGTAGCTAAAGTTTTGACTTGGTTTATGACATCTTTCCAGTGGTTGCTTAATTTAAAACCATCCTCTCGGTTGAAGTTGTGTCTATGTTTGTATATCTGGATGGCTTCGTGGACAAATCTTTGGTAATAACCGGGAGGTTTGCATAGTACTTTGGTATCAGAGAAAACAATCACTATTACACAGTATGACAGGATGCTGCATCACAAATAGACATCACATAGCCCAAATCAATGTCATTACCAAAGAAACAAAAACAAACTCACAACAACCAGTCACATTTACTCATACGACCACCAAGAAAGCAAAAATGCCATAAAACACAAATAACACAATCAGGATTCAATAGGCTTCCCCACGGAAAACAATCTAAAGCACTACATCTAAAAAATCTAAACGTCACGAAAGAAAGTTTGAATAAATCTTAGATGATGCTACGTTACGTGCTAGATAGTTTTACTTCATTCTAGATTTGAATCTTTCGTGACTGCAAGGATTCATACTCTTTGGTTTTATTCGGTAAAGTCATATAGGTAAAATGAAGTAAAATAAAAGAAAACAATAAAATCACGACGTTTCGGAGGCAACACAAGCTTCCGTCTTCAGGTGAAATAGTCACAGCAGAAAATCTGTGTTGAGTACACAGCTCTGAGACGATTGGGTTTATATATAGGTTAAGAGGGAGGGAGGAGTCAGAAAGGGGGCGTGGGTGGGAGGGCTGAGTCAAGCCGCCTTTTGTTAAGCTGCAGGGGGTTCGAGTGGAAGGCTGTGGTGGACTGCCAGTAGAGGATATCATCTCTCAGGTCGATGTAGCCCTCAAAGGCATAGGACACATCCCAGCAGACGTTGCGAGAGCTGAAATAGCCACTATTCTTAAGAATGCTAAGAAACCCATTAGCAACATCAGCAAAAATGAACGCTCTGAACTCGCGAATTTAAAAAAGAGAGATGATATAGTCATCCTCTCGGCCGAAAAAGGCAATGCCACTGTCATTATTGATAAAATCTCATACAACAACAAAATCCAGGACCTACTCAATGATGGGAGTTACTCAAAAATTAAAATGACCCTACTAACAGCCTAACGATAAAAAACAACAAGATTATTACAAGTTCGACTTCCCTAATCGAACCAACCAAACGTCCTTCCCTAAAACCCTCCGCTGCAAGACCTCCCAGATTCTATGGTCTTCCCAAGATCCATAAAGAAGGTACCCCACTACGACCCATCATGTCCACTATCAACTCCTCTACCTACAAGCAGGCCCATTTTCTGTCAGATACTCTGCTTCCCTTCACTGGCAAGACCACCTCACCTGTACTTAACTCAACCCAATTGGTCTCTATGGTTAAGGACATTGTACTGCCTCCTGACGATATCCTCGTCAGCTTTAATGTGGTCTCTCTGTTCACCAAGGTCCCAGTACCTGATACCATTACAATAATTGAAGATCTGGTCCAACATGGACTAGACCCCGATGTACCTGCATTGGTTAACCACTGCCTCACCAACACCTACTTTACTTGGAATGGCACCTTCTACAAACAAAATGAGGGTACCCCCATGGGTTCCCCCTTATCACCAGTGATAGCCAATGTTTTCATGGAGAAATTTGAATCAGACGCCATCAAGACATCCACCCTCAGTTCTTCCCTGTGGAAGAGATATGTGGATGACACTTTCGTCATTTGGCCACATGGCCTCCCAGCTTTGAACCTTTTCTTAGACCACATCAATTCCAGACACCCTTCCATAAAATTCACCATGGAAGTGGAGAAAGATCGCAAGCTGCCATTCTTGGATGTTCTGTTTGAGAGGTCTGATGGCTCTTTGGGACATTCTGTTTACAGGAAGCCCACCCACACAGACTCCTACTTGAAACCTGATTCCCACCACCCGACTCAGAAGAATTCTCTCATCAAAACGTTATACCATAGGGCTCATTGCATTTCTGACCAACACCACCTGACCAGTGAATTAAAACATGTACATCTGGCCCTCAAGATGAACGGTTACTCTGACTGCACCATCCGCCAAGCTGTTTCTCCCACCATACAGAAACAACCACTTGACACTCCGAATAAAATCATCACTTTACCATACATAGCAGCCGTTACTAAAAAGATTTCCAAAATTCTAAACAAACACAAGATCCAGGTCCGGTTCAACACAGTGCACAAAATCCGTGATCTGATCCCATCCGTGAAGGATGTTATTCCTGACTTACAGTAACCCGGTGTTTACAAATTGAGTTGTACCTGCGGTGACTGCTATATCGGGAAGACGAAGCGACATATCTTTGACCGGATTCGCGAGCACAAATCAGATTTGAAACACGGCAGAACGAATTCTTCTGCCGTGGCTGATCACTGTTACAACGCTGTGGGTGATCATGATATTGTTTTCTCCGATACCAAGGTACTCTGCAAACCTACCGGTTATTATCAGAGATTTGTCCACGAGGCCATCCAGACATACAAACA